TATTGCTTGGTTCATCTAACCACCTAATGTGTACTGTAGACTTATTTTGTCAAATAATTTAGCTCAAAAACAGCACATTAGAGATCCCACCAACTGATTGTATTATAATGTTATATATATTTTTTCAGGTTTCGCTTTTGACTAATCTGAATCGATTTGCATCGTACATCTAATTTTGGTGGATGAGTCTTTCAGCAGAAATTTTTTGCATACATAACGAATCGAACTCGAAAACTTACTTAAGCAACATCAAACTGTTTGTCAGCTGAATCAACTCTTGTTGGTAGATAATGCTAATTTTCATTGAACTTTTTTTTTTCTTTTAAAATGTCACTATTTTTTTTATTAATTTTAAATTTTGTTTAGAAAATATTACTTTTATCACTGGATTTAACATAAAAAAAATTAACTTACAAACCAACATTAATTTTGTTTGCTCGTATTTTAAATTTTTTATTCAACACACTCATATTTAATTATTATTGTAAAGCATTATACTGATTTTAAATTTTTTTCTTTAAATCCTTTTAAAATTTTTGATATTTCAATTTTTATATATTTATTTAAAAATCATGATAAGTTGTTTTTGATGGAAAAAATATGATTAAAATTGAATGGGATTATATTGCAAACATTATGTTGAAAACATAAAAGAAGAAAGGTAACTATTAATAGCAAGCCAATAATAGATTGTTTCTTTATATATATATATATAATGAATATAAGCTAATATTTGTTTAAAGATTCTCAATTGTTTGATAATAAACGTTCATACCCTAATATATACAATACTCAAATCCGAGACCTTAAGAAATAATAACAATCTTTTAATTACCGAGGTCGCTTGGTTTGTGAAAATAGATTGTTAATTTATAAGAAAAAAATGGAAAATTACAAGATTAATCACTTTCGTTTAAGTTATGTATATTTTTCTCACTGAATTCAAAAAAAATAATATTTGCTTACTTTCATCTTTATTTAATAAGATTTGTTCACTTTCATTATTATTTAATTAAGATGTGATCACTGAGGGTTAACTGTTGTTAGACCTTTGACGGATTACTGACGCGACACACTAAATTTATTAGAATTAAAAAGGGTAAACAACACAAATAGTCACTAATATTTGAGTAAGTTTTCATTTTCTCCACTAAAGTTTCAAAAGTAATAAATTGGTCACTAAAATATTAAATAGGTCATTGAACAATGATTTTATATCTAATTTACCCCAAAAGCTTTCTAATTTTTTGTTTATCGTTCAAAATATTCGATTGCAAAACTTGGAAAATTAGAAAGCTTTTGGAATAAATTAGATATAAAATCATTGTTCGAGGACCTGTTTGATATTTTAGTGACCAATTTTGTTATTTTTGAAACTTCTATGGGGAAAATGAAAACTTACTCAAACATTTGTAACCATTTATGTAGTTTACCCTTTTAATTTTATAAATTCATTGTCACGCCAGTAATCCATTAAAGGTCCAACGATAGTTAACCATCAATGATCACATCTTAATTAAATAAAACGAAAGTGACCAAATCTTATTTTTTTCAAATTTAGTGAGGAAAAATATATATAGCTTAAACGAAAGTGATTAATCCCGTAGTTTAACCAAAAAAATATGTATAAACTAAAGGGTAAATTACACGGAAGACCACTAAACTATGGTAAAAAATCAATGTGACCACCGAATTTTCAATTGAATCAATCAAATCTCCCAACTATTTAATTGATTCAACCAAACCACCGGCCGTTAATTTTTAATAGAGGTGGTGACGTGTCCGTCAACCTTAATTGGCATAATTTTATATTTGGTCCTTAATATTTATATATTCTATCAATTTAGTCACTATTTTAATTCAATTAAATAAATTTAACTATCCAATTAGAAGTGAAATGTGTTAATATATGATTGGAAGGTTTTATTTATAAATTTAAATTATTTAATTAAATAAATTTTTTATCCAATCAGGTGGTGATACGTGTCACCACCAATTGAAATGAAAATAAAGGGATAATATTGTGCTCAAGGGAAAATGAACAAGGGATTAAGGGATAGATCAGGTGCTAAACCATTAGGCCCAAGATCCTCAATGGTTTAAAGTTACAATAATTTATATTTGACTTGTACAAATTTGTTGATGATAAAAAATTAAACAAATTATTTGTTTAAAAAATTATTAAAAAATTAAATAAATTATTCACGAATAATAATTTTCAAATAAATTTTGGTTCGATTAATGGTTAAAGAAAAAAATCGATTAATTCGGTTCAGTTAATCAAACCAAAATTTATTTGAAAATTATTAACCAAACCGAATTAACCGATTTTTCTTAAAATTATTAATCGAATTAATCGAAACAAAAATTCAGTTAGTTTAGTTCGGTTAATCGAATCAAAATTTATTTGAAAATTATTAATCAAACTAAATTAATTTGAAAATTATTAACCGGATTAATCGAAGAAAAAATTCAGTTTATTCGGCTCGGCTAATCAAACCAAAATTTATTTGAAAATTATTAACCGAACCGAATTAATTTGAAAATGATTAACCGAACCGAATTAACCAATTTTTTTAAATTATTAATCGAATTAATCGATGCAAAAATTCTGTTAATTTGGTTCGGTTAATAATTTTCAAATTAATTTAGTTATTAATCGAACCGAATAAATCAATTTTTTGCATTGATTAATTAGATTAATAATTAAAAAAATTCGGTTAATTGGTTTGTTTAATAATTTTCATATAAATTTTGGTTCGATCAACCAAACCGAATTAACAAAAAAATTTCATCTATTAATTCAATTAGTAATTTAAAAAAAATCGATTAATTCAGTTCGGTTAATAATTTTCAAATACATTTTGGTTGATTAACCGAACCAAATTAACTGAATTTTTTCTTCGATTAATTCGGTTAATAATTTTTAAAAAAATTCAGTTAGTTCGGTTCGGTTAATAATTTTCAAATTAGATTAGTTCGGTTAATAATTTTTTAAATAAATTTGGTTCGATTAACCGAATTTTTGCTTAGATTAATTCAGTTCGGTTAATAATTTTCAAATAAAATTTTGGTTCGATTAACCGAACCGAATTAACCAATTTTTTTCTTTAACCGTTAATCGAACCAAAGTTTATTTGAAGATTATTAGTTATGATTAATTTATTTAATTTTTTATTAATGTGTTTAAACAAATATTTTGTTTAATTTTTTATCATTAATAAACTTTTACAAGTCAAATATAAATTGTTGTAACTTTAAATCATTAGGGACCTTTGGCTTAATGGTTTGACGCTTGCTCTATCAACCAGTCCTAGTTTGATTCCCCTTGAGCACAAAATTATCCTTTTATTTTCATTTCAATTGGTGATAACACGTGTCACCATCTGATTAAATATGAATTTTTTTAATTAAATAATTTAAAATTCATAAATAAAATCTTCTAATCATATATTGACATGTGTCCCGTTCTAATTGGATAGTTAAATTTATTTAATTGAAATACAATAGTGACTAAATTGATAGAATATGTAAATATTAAGGACAAAATATATAATTATTTCAATTAATATTAACGGACACATCACCATCTCTGTCAAAAATTAACGGCCGGTGGTTTAATTGAATCAATTAAATATTTGGGTGATCTGATTGATTCAATTGAAAGTTCGGTAGTAATATTATTTTTTTCCATAGTTTAATGATCTCCCGTGTAGTTTATCCTAAACTAAATATTAATAATTTCAAAAGAATGGGTAGGCAAGACGAAAAAGGAGCCTATATGAAGTAAGCTAGTTTAAAAAGGAGCCAGCTACCCAAGAACCAGCAGTTATGACTTCTTCTTGGGACCCACCCATGACTCCTAATTGTTACTATTTTTATTTTTATTTATGTTTTTTAATAATATAATACTAATATATTTTAATTCCTCCCAACAAATATTTTTAATAGACATCAACAAAGCTGTAAGTCTATGCAACAACAAATATGCAATATATAACAACGTATTTATAACATAAATACAAAAAGTTATTAAAGTAAGTTATGTATTTAATCACCTATTAAATTTTAAAGTTTTATTTTGATTATTTAACTATTTTGAAAATTACATCAAATGTTACATTTTATTCTGATTTGATCATCTGCCGTAAAAAATTTAATGGTGATACTGATGTGTTACCATAAAATAATGTAATGTAATTATTGAAAAAATATAGAAAATTGACATGTTAATAATTATGTTTATTTTTTTAACGGTAAGTGATAAAAACGTAACGTTAAGTGTAATTTAAAAATAATTGAGTGACCAAAACGGAACCGTGTGAATAGATGAGTGCCTAAATAAGTAGTTTACCATATTTATTATTTTAAAATTCCATTATAAATATTTTTAACAAGAAGTTTAATTTCATTAGAAATTAATATACCTAAAAATGTATTATACTTAATATAACTTATGTTTTTATTATTTATATTTTGAAGCTAATAAGTGATAACAAATAATGTTATAAATACTAATGTGGTTGGTTTGAGTAGTAAACAACTTGATATTTTTAAGTAGATCTTAAGTTCAAGTCTTTATGTATGTAAAAAAAAATTGGTTGAGAGACTCACCTATCAAAGTTAAGTGTGCGATCGATCTACACAGATCAATCCAAATTAATCAGGACGAAGTCCACTGGGATGGCAACAAAAAATTATTTATAAATAAAAAATACAAAAATAAATAAATCTTGTTTTTTTTTTTTTTCTTTAATATAAAAGCTACAAAGGAAGAAGAGGTGGTATATAATGCACACAAACGCAAAAGACACTAGACACTGCTATCTGCTTTTTCTTTCCTTTCTCTTTCACGTTTAACCTTCCTCCTTCCACATCCATTTATTAGATTCCTCTCAATAGTCTCCTTATTTTTAATAAAATTTTCTCTCCATTGGATTGTACAAATTCTAAGCTCAAAACCCATCTCTTAAATCTTTCATTTCTTCTTGCTTTTTTTATGTTTATTACACTGATTAAAAGGACATAAAAGCTCTTCTGGGTATTTTTCATTTCCTGGGTTTGTTGCTTTCTTCTGCAAACTAGATTAGCTTTCTGGGTTGTTGCAGAAAAACCTCTAATACCCAGTTCAATATGTCATATAAAGCTTGAAGAAATCAATTAAATTTATATAAAGCGCTTTCAATTTTTAGTTAAAGATTTTGCCAATAAATAGATATTTTTACTCTCTTTTTCACCAATTTTTTATTCTGTTCTTTTAACTTATTTTTCTTCCCTTGAGAAAAAAGAAAGAAAGAAAGATATGGGCAAACAAGGTCCATGCTATCATTGTGGAGTTACAAGTGAGTTATTGTTTCTCCAGTTAACTTTTTGGATAGAAAGCTTTAGAAATAATAATAAAAACCTGAAATTTGGGTTCTGGAATATATGTAAATGTTCAACCTTTTTCTTTATATCGGTATATTTTCTGGGCTAAAAAAAATTTTCATGGGAATTTGGAAGGGGAATAACCGTATGTATAAGCAGATCATATGAACAAAGATAATAAATCTTATAATATACTCTGTTCTTTGTGTTTTTCTGTTTGTGTATGGATTTAGAACAATAGGAGTGTCTTTTCTCAGTCCATGTAATGCTTTGAACTTGAGTTTGGTATTGAATTCTGTTGTTTCTTTCAACCACATTTTCTCAGCCTTGTATATATCTCTTGGGGTTAGTGTTCAAGCTTAGAGCTTATCTCACAAGGGAAAATGAGTCTTAATTCTCTTGGATACTGGGGAATTGCATATTTTGTTGAGTTATTTGCAGTTTCAGATTCAATATTTGATTGGTATTGGTTTCCAATTGCTCCATTGATGTTTGTAAGCTTAAAAATCAAGTCAAACCTCATTTCTCTTCAATTCAATCCAATGGAATGTATTTTCTTGCAACATCATCGTTTTGATCCGTTACTGGTGCGCCTGCCATGAGTTCCTAAATAAGCTTTGGTTTAAAATTCAGTGTTAAAGAAGACAGCACTCTTATGTTTGTTCTTTACTGATAAGAATTGTTCAACTTCAATGGACTCCATTACAAATGTGAACCATTTTTCAAGAATTGCACTTTACTCATTTTAAACCATTTTTATTATTATTCGCTTTTGTTCGGGATATCATTCAATTATATTTTGAAGTTAATTGTATTGACCCTTTAGTGCACCATTAATTAAATACTTGAAGTGTAAAATTTACACTCTAAAAGTGTAAAATTTAGTGCACCATTAATCAAATACTTGAAGTGTTTTATAATCTTTGAACTTACTGTCTGCATTACTGCAACATTCTGTGGAATTCTAATTTTTCTGGTCATTGATACGAGTGTTAAATTGTTTCAAGTAAAAGTGTCAAGGGAGGCACGATAATCCTCGTTTGCTTTGGGTTAAGCAAGGGCATCAATCCTGAATGCCTTTTAGAAATTCCTTCGAACCTTGAGCACTAAAATGGTGTTGGCAAATATTATCTTTTGAGGCTAAATGCAAGTTTCGCTTGACTTTCATTATTACTCAAGTCCATCTCCGATAGATTACAGATGTTTATCCTTTTGGCCATAATTTGAAGAAGACTTGTGTGATGATGTTCATGTCTTTGAACTTGGCTAAGAATATACTAAACTCTTTATGCACTCTTTGTTTCTCCCCTCAAGGCTTAAATATCTATAAATTTGGCTAATGTTTCTTTCCATTTGCAACAGCCATAAGCATAACACAATTAAAATATCTTTTGTCCTTAATCACTCTATACTTATTGTGAACAATGTGTTGTGATAGGTACTCCTCTTTGGCGCAATGGACCTCCGGAGAAGCCAGTATTGTGTAATGCATGTGGATCGCGGTGGAGAACAAAAGGAACACTTGCCAAATATACCCCACTTCATGCTCGGGCAGAACCTGAGGATCATCTGGCTTCCAGAGTGAAGAGCATATCTATAAATAAGAACAAAGAAGTGAAACTGCTGAAAAGAAAGTCAAATGATTGTACAACTATTGTTTCCCCTGATTATAACCTGGGTTTTCGTAAATTTGTGGATGAAGATACTAGTAATAGATCAAGCTCTGGATCAGCCATTTCTAATTCTGAATGCTGTGCACAATTTGGCTGTGCAGATGGTAGTGACTTGACAGGTTGGTGACAATGTCATTAGTGTTCCTCATCTCTAACCGTGTGGGAGTAATTGCAATTTTTAGTCATTAAAGGGTCGTATACTAAAATTCAGTGGAATATCTCTGTCTATCTTCTGAACTCATTGGAGATTCATGAGTGCTATCATTGACATTATAAAAAAAGATTCTGGAAATGGTTGAATCTCAACCTGTTATGGTTTAACGCTTCTCGATGTGCAATGAACAACTGACATGAATAAGGCTTTTCATATCTTTGAGACTTCTGAATTTTCAGTGGAAACAATGTGTTGACAACATGATTCGGATAATGCCTTTTTTGTCGTATTAAATATTCTCCTTTAGCAGTTTATCTTGATGTTTTAATCTACATCCTCAGATTTTACCTTCATTGACAACATAAGCTTGACTGATGCCGGTGGCTTCATTTTAGCTGCATGCTTGTAGTTTTAAAATGGTCTCAAATACTATTTGTCTTCTTTCTAATTTTTTTCCAGGGCCTGCTCAATCTAATGTGTGGGACTCAATGATACCTTCTAAGAAAAGAACATGTGTAAATCGTCCAAAGCCATCTCCAGTGGAGAAACTTACAAAAGATCTATATACTATTTTACATGAACAACAGTCTTCGTATATCTCTGGATCTTCTGAGGAAGATTTGCTTCTCGAGAGTGAGACTCCCATGGTTTCTGTTGAGATTGGACATGGAAGCATTCTGATTAGACATCCGAGCTCAATAGCTCGAGAAGAAGAATCAGAAGCTAGCTCACTCTCATTTGAAAACAAACAATATTCAATGAATGAGGCTTATTCACATTCATCAAGCTTCCCTGCATATAGTGATATCAAGGGCATCAAATTTTCAGGACATGGAATTGAGAAGGTGAAGAACCCTGCTGGACAGGGGATGCTGCATGAGCAACTTAAGAGGTAAATCTTGTACTTATTATTATGGTATTTTACAAGTTGCTACAGAATCTAGTAATTAAGAATCTAGCATTAGTGTGGACCATGTGGTTTTTTTAACTGAAGATTTTATGAAAATTTACGATGGCCACTCAGAAAGGTTAAATATATTTATGTAAGTGGTACATTTCTTACAGCAATGGAAGACATGGAACTTATCTCAAAAAAGCTCCGAGTTGTAATATCTTTGTCCCTTCAGTTTTTCAGGAAGACAATTTATTAGTCATCACGACTCATGACTCATTCCCTCATTGGCCATAAGCTAAAGCAAATAATTGCTGTGCATGGGATGAAATATGGGAGAATGGTGCTTTCATGTTGATTAATATGTGTTTTCTTTTCCTTTCTTACATTTGGCAGAGACCAGGTTCAACACGAAAAATTAGTTATGCTGGAAAGTCATAATTCACCACTGTGTAACATAGATTTGAGTGTAAGTTCCCTTATGTATTTCTTTTGCTTTATTTGATTCGCTGAGGGCAAGTTCTTTAGACCTCAACTTTACAGCTGCTATATGTTAAAATCCTCTCAATGGAGCTCTCAGACACAATAAGTTTGATTACAGTTGGTGACTTTGGATGTTCAAAAATCATTCACATAATTCTTCCGTCTTAAGGAAGGGTCGAGTTACCATGAAAAATTTGCATCACTGCAGATATTCTTTCTCAATTATTTGATGCTATTTTTTTTTGTGTTGCAGGATATTATCAACTTTGAGGCATATGTGAAGCATTTAACAAAAGACGAACAGAAGCAGTTATTGCGGTATCTACCTCCACTTGACATTGCCAAACTCCCCGAGAGGTACCTCTTTTACTCTTTTATCAAGTGAGGGAAAATAACATCTTTTCTTTTCATGTTTTTTGTGTAATGGGATGCATTTACGGTAATAATAGTTTTCGATCGTATAACGGCTATTTTTAATCTAAAATGATGAGAATGATTGAAACATGATGTGGAAAATGGAATTGCTGATAGTTGTCTTTGCATCTGCAGCCTCAAAAACATGTTTGAAAGCCCTCAATTCAAGGATAACTTATGTTACTTTCAGCAACTGCTCGAGGAAGGGGTGTTTGATATCTCTGTTCCTGGGGTGAAAGCTGAAGATTGCAAGACTTTAAAACGAGTTGCATTATTTAATTTGACGAAATCTCACTGGGTGGAACGCTGTCATGAACTCAAGGTTTCAATTGGTTATCTTTAGTGGTGACACCTTGGCATGAACTTGTCGTGCTCACTGGATGTCTAAAAGCCTTTCTTTTGCTGCAGAAATGTAAAAGGAATGTTGGAGGGTCGGTTCTTGCTAGAGGACCAAATGCCATTACATTGCATACTTCGGTAACTTCGAAGAGATCACATGACAGTCAAATTGCAGGTTAGAAAATTCTCTTTTGGAATTGCGCTGTATGAACTTTTTTTTGGCTTAAGATATGTGAAATAAATATTGCTATAAATTATATTGACAACTTGATAGTAACATTGAATGTGAAAGTGAAAATAACCCAGCTGCAATTTTTCGAAAAAGTAATAAGAACAGTTGATAAACTGGATGAAAGAAATAAACTTGCAAACATGAAACATTATGAAGTTTTCTCTCTGTAACTAAATAAATTTCATCTTTAAGTCAAGTGTCAATCTTGTGAGGTGTTTGAATTATTATGAGCTACACTGGCATTTTGCTCAAGAAAAAACTTGTTTTTCTTTTTTCAGAAGCAAGGACTTTAAAGAGTCCAAAAAGAGGGATCATGAAGGCTGCTTATGAAAACAAGGAACTCAGAGACAACGATGGTTCTTGCTTTAGCCCGAGAAGCCTGTTTGCATTGCCTCCTGATGGCAGCTCGCTGGTGTTGCACTCTCTCGGTTTTGTTGATGAACGTTCAGACCAAGATTTGCTGCTGGATGTGCCACCCAATGGCTCATTCCCACAGGCAGAACTGCTTCATCCTAATTCAAGTTTTGGGCAGCAGGAAAGCACTAGCAGTCACTCGGCACACTCACATCTTGTCCATCCCTAGCAGTGGGTTGTTAGTCACTAGAACTATAAAGTTATGCTCCTTCTGCAAGATCCCATGAATGGGGTCGGCATATTTTGCATGTTAAAGACCGAAGTTTGAATGAGGTTTGATGGTTTCTCTTTCTTTCCCCCCGATCCTATCAAACTTGAATTTTGTATAGGTTGACAATAGATTTGTAATATAGATCTCAAAAAAAAAAATGCAGAAGAGGTAATAATTTCCAGAGTTTTGTATGCAAATGTAGTTTTTGCATAGAAACATAACTTTATACACCCCTTGGTCAGTTTGCAGCTTATCCCCGAGCGGGGAAGAGGAAAAATAGAAGAAAAGGGCTATGAAAATGGCTTTTAAGGGATGCATGCTGAAGAGTTACCATCTAGCCTTTTTCATATATCATTTGATTCAAGGTAACTCTATCTCTATCTTATATTAGAAGTTAAGTACCTTATCAGTAGATTGTTGGACAAACTCTCAATATTCAAGCGTGCTTGGAGTTGTTAATGGGTGCATGCCTTCAACCTTGTTATGGTATTGCATGCTTAGCTCATATTTATACTGAAATGAGACGAAGTAAATGAGAGATAATCATGAAACATTTCAAAAATCATAAGATGGAATTCGTTAGATAAGTGGTTATTCGAGCACGGGACGAGACATGTCTAGTTTGTTGACCTGAATTAGAAAAAGATAATGCCAAAATTAGCTTCCAACGTTTGTCACAATGATTATTTTAGCCTCTCTTATTTTGGAACACTTTAACTCTTAACTTTTTAATTTTTTTCAAAATGTTTCATGTTGGATGGAAACTGTTAGTTGACTAACAGTCAATGCATGTTGTTAATGTGATATTCTCACGTGTTAAATTGTTGATGTGTTACGTGTCATATCATTCAAGGTGGTGATATGATATATTTCATATCACCTATGTTGATGACATGACATGTGTTGCATTATTAATCAAGTATTGATGGAAATGTCACGTCACATTAGTAACGTGCATTAACAATTAGTTAATAATTTTCATCCAATCAGAGTCATTTTGAATCAAAATTGAAACGTTGAAGGTTAAAATACTATAAAAAGAAAAGAGATTAACATGTCATTTTGATAAACATTGAAGTTAATTTTAATACTATATCAATTAAAAAATCCAATTTGATTAAATTTTAAACTAAATTCAAACTTGATATCAAACTAAAAACATGAGTTAATTTTACGTTATGCAGTTGTTATTAAGTAAATAGTCGAGTGACAAAAAAATTCGATGTATAAAGTTCAATGAGCAAATTAAAAAAATTATAAGTACAATGAATAAAATAGGAAAGAGAATAAATTTAATTAGTTATTAAGCGTGTAAATTACCTTATTATCATTTATTACTGTCACTTGGCGTGACAGTTGTATGGCACAAAACTTTTGCCATTTTTTAAATAATATGATAGCTTTTCAGGATTATATATATACATGCATGCATGTTTATTTATCATCATTTATCAATATCAATACTAAAATTTAGACTTTGATGTGATCACGTCCAAGTATTTGAGTAACGAAACTAATAAATATTCACAAATTTTTCTTAAGATTTAGGGTAAACTACACTGGTTGTCTCTTATATTTTTGGTCCATTCGATTTTGGTCACCAATTCAAAAAAAATGTTTCTAATCCCTTACATTATTAGTTCGTTCGATTTTGGTCGCTCGACTATTAACTCCCATTAATCCAGTACGTCTGACTTGACATTTAAAAAATAAAGGTATAATAATAAAATTAGCTCCAAACGTTTATACAAATGGTTAGTTTTCCCCTATTCTTTTTTTGGAAGTATTTTAGCTCCCAATGTTTCAATTTTTGGTCAAAATAGTCCCTGTTGGATGGAAACCGTTAGTTGACTAACACGCTAACAAATGTTGCTGACATGATATTTTCATGTGTTTAATTGTGTCATGTCATCACTTTTGAGTGATGTGGCATATAATACATCATCACTTTTGGGTGAGGTGACACATAACACACCGTCACTTTGGATGACATGACACATGACACATCATCACTTCGGGTGATGTGGCACACAACATGTCATCACTTTGGATGATTTGACATAAATACATTATCAGTTCGGGTGACGTGGCAGAGGTCACATCATTACTTTGGTGACATGACATGCATATGTCATTCATTAAATGCATGTGAAAATAATATGTGTCAATTGTTAGTTGTTGTGTATGTGAGTGCTATAAATTAAACGCAAATTTGTGCAAGTATACACAATCGAAGAAGTAATATAGTAGTGTGTGAGTATCGTCTCCACATGCATTGAAGGGATTTCCAAGTTAAGCTAATGCATATATAACTTAAATATAGTCTATGTTGCGTTAAAAACAAGTGAGTAAGAATGTTGTGGCAAAGTATTGAAATGTGGATTGTGAAATGCTATGGTAAAAAAGTAAAGTCAAAGAATTGCTATGACAAAATAAAGTTGAGCACTAAAGTATGAAATAAGATAACTTGACAATCTCTCACAAACAAGCTACAAGAGGGATAAATAACAAGGTTTACTAAGGAATCCTATGACTTGCCTCTAGAATGGTTCACATTTTCAATGAGTATGTTGCTCGACAGAATTTACTAAAGTGGTCCTAGGATATCTCTAGTAAGTGACAGAGAAAATGCTATGTCAATACCTCTCAACGTAAACTGTAACATAATCATATCGGTTAAGTTCTACCCCTTTTAGTCATTGAAACCCTTTCCTTATAACTAAGGCGAGTTAAAGGCTTACCATCCCAGCTTATCTCCATTGTTCATGTCGATCTAACCTAACTCTATCGATATTAAGCATCAAAACTTAGAAAATAACTAACTCTCGAAAGCTCTTACAAGTTTAAGCTATTAACATTTAAACAATGAACAAAACAACATTTAAACATGGAAGCATAAGCAATTCATTAAAACAAAATATAAATTTCCAAAGCTAACCCACACCAAATAAGGTTAGTTTATGGTGGGGTACAAATCATCCACAAGAATAATCATTTGTTCCATTACAAAAGCCACAAATAAATATAAGTGAAAAACAATAAAGGAGAAGAGAACTCCCAAGTGTCACCGTGAGCTTTCTTGAACCACTGTGAACCACCTTAGCAAGCTAGCTTCTCTCAAAGGCCTAGCTTGCTATCCCCTTGGAGCTTAGTTATGGAGAACTCCACAAAAGGAGGAAGAAAATAAAGAAAAGAAAAGAATGGAGCTCTTTGTTTTGCCTCTTTTTGTCACACACTTCTCTCTTCATCTCTTATCTTATTTATACTAAAAAATAAAAAACTCTCAAACTTCCAATAACTCTTAAATTCACAATAAAACACTCTAACTCCCAAGAGATTCTTTAATTCATAATAAAACACTCTAACTCTCAAGTGACTCTTAAATTCCCCCTTAAATATGGGATTTTAATTCCTTTTGTAACCTAAGAAAATATTATCTTTATATTCTTGGGTTGAACAGCTGGCAGAGAAGGTTTCATGTGTGGACATCTAGCAGCGATTAAAAATATCTTTGTCATTTTTGTCTTTCTCTGCACCCAGAAATACCGTCTAAAATGTTATAGCATTTCTTCAATTCTTCTTAGTTCTTTAGCATCAGTTACCTGCACATCATCAACAAAACATGACCTTTCCCCTTACGCAACATCAATTTCAACAATAAAATGTTGTAGCAAAATTAAACCACCAAACACAACTTCATAGACTTAAATGCAACTATATGTAGTTAAATGGGCTTTTAAACAACCAATAACCTAAGTAAAAGAACATAAAATATGACCTTTTACGGAGTTATCACACTCCCAAACTTACGGTATTGCTTGTCCTTAAGCAATGAATATTAATCAACAGAAGAAATGTTATGAAAAATTTCAATCCAAGACAGTTGCAAGGCATAATTCAGCCCTCACAAACATAGGCTTTCAACATTTTAGACACATTATGATTTTAAGAATTTTTCCTTAATAAAAGATCATTTGCATGTTATGTGTGATTTTATCCAATCTATGCTTAACGGAGTTAGAAAAATCCTAATCAAGTTCTCTATTATGCTTTAGCTTTTGTTAATCAATGAAGCTCAAGTTATACTCCCATTATTTTTCTTTTTCTTTTTTTCTTCTTTTTTTCAATTTCTTATTTTTTAACTACTACAAGGGGTGTCAGCTCATCTCACATACCATCCTCAACTCTAGATGAATTGGAGCAAACATTCCATCCCCGATCTAGTATGTAGAGTCATCTCGTGACTACTTTCATTTACTCATTTGCCATTACTGCCATTTATTAAAGGGGTTATCCAGGGCAAACAATGCAAAACAGAGTGTCCCTCTACAGTTATACCGTAGCATTTATTCACAATTCATAATATTCAATTAATCACATAGGAGTTTAAAATAACCTTTCAAGCATTCATTTATCAGTCATGCTAAGGCATGCAAGAGTTATTTTATAAAAAAATTGCTAAAACTCTTAAGCTTAGAGATCATACAATCGTTTAAATGTTTAATCACAAATAATAAAGCCTTAGAGTCAATTCTACCAATCTCAACAATCATGTACATTCAATCACAACCTTAAAAATTTCATCATCATTGGGCATCATCAAATTATTCTAAAAACTATCTTAAAACCTAACAAATGCAATAGTAAAAATCTGTTGATTATTATAAATGCAAATTTCTAACTATGAACATTACCTCCCCAAACTTGAAGGAAGCATTATCCTCAATACATGAAAACTAAATGAAAACAAACTAAATGAAATGCAATGCTAATGGAAATGAAAATGGAGGTACCTCACTGTGGTGGTGGTGTGTTACTTCTTTGGGGTAGGGATATCCTGGGTATGGGTGGGTTAATATGCTAATGGATATGTTGTGGTATTTCAGGTGAAATAAGGATCATGGCAGCTTGCTCAGTGGGCTTATTCTCCATATCCTGCCTCATAAAAAACCTAAAAAGAAAATTTGTAAA